AAGGGAACGACCCCCCCCCCCAAGAAGCACCCTCTCCCTTCCTTCTACACGGAAACCGAGTGAAGACACAAAGGAAGCCGTTCCAAGGTCAACATCTCATCGGCAAGACTAGTTAGTCCATCTTGCAAACCTCTCCCACTCAGAGCAAATTCTTCTTCCTTCACAACCCCAAATACAAGCAGCTGTGGCCAAAAAAGACTCGGGATCCTTTGGACCACAGATGTTTCCATGCTTCTCGTTAATCTGGAGCCATGACCCGATCCAACTGAAGCATGCAACAGAGGTGGGCTGCTCCAGTGCATTCTGCCCCCGGCCAGCTGCCCTGGCTCTCTGCACACAAGCACAAGTCCCCCCTAAGATCAGGGGACCACACGTCTAATATGGCTTGACATGCAACGGTCACATCAACCAGCAGAAAAGCTCGGCTTTTGCAATGCCACAGTCCTTTTGGACATTTCAGGAATCGCTCCTGTGCCAGGAAAAGGGACACATACAACCTGCCTAACCTTCAAGGAAGGCTAAATTCAGAGGAAAACAGGCTAAGTGGTGACTCTACCCTTATGGGATGCAATGAAAGGACTATCTGTGAGGGTGTATAGTCAAGCATCCTGCTTTTTTTTTGGGGGGGGGGGAAGAGATGCCAGATCTAATTGTATTTGTGGACCTTCACTGGGGGGGGGAGGGGGAGAGAGATGAGAGTGCATAGCCCTGGCATGAGTCAGAGATGCAAGCATAATGCAAGCATGATTAGTGAGTGACAAGGAGGGGAAAAAACAGATATTCTCCAGGGTCACCATGAAGACTTACAAAGTAGAGTATTAGAAAATGAACAGGTGGAGTTCCTTTTAAGAATCTACATAATGGAAAAGGAAGGGAGAAAAATAGGAGTTAAGAAAAGGAAATCTATTGACTTTGACTATGATTAGAAAAAAAGCATGAGAAGGGGAGAAACCTCAGCCCAAATTTACTTGTTGAGCACTGAAATTGCGAGGCATCGGAAAACAGGAAAACAACAGACACACAGACACAGACACACCTTGAACAAGGGCCCCTGAGTTCTTCCCCCAACTCCCCTCCATCCTAGAACCCTAAGCCTCAACCCTTTAGGAGAGGAATCCTGCAAACAGGACAAAAACCAAGAAACCAAAGGTTATTTTCTCATCCTGTATTCAACAGCCAGCAAGATACAAATTCTTGCACTTCCCATAGATAGTATAGGGTTTCTGTTGGGCAGCACAAACCAAGGGCAACATCGAAATGATCGTCATGCAGCTTCACCTAGAAGAGGTAAGCATTTAGGTGTTATCACTGTTGGTTCTAAGGACTAGCCACGATTCGGCATCTGACTGGGAACTGCCCACTGAATTCAGAGGCTGGCAACCTTCTAGGTTTGAAACCAGGGGAGACGGGCTGGAGAAAACATGTGCAGAACTGCAGAGGCTGTATAAATAAATTCTGCTGCCAAGCAACAGCGTGTTCTCTTTAGGTAAAAGCCGTGAGAATTTCCTTCCAGAAGCTTGATGTGCACTTCTTTTCTCTGTGCTGTCGAACCCCCGTTATCCCTTCAAGCCCTCCCATTCCCAGAGGAGGACAAGACCAGGTACGCTTCAGTCTCCTGTTGATGGAGACGGTGTCGGGAGACCAGACTGGCAGGCAAAGGACAAGCTCCCCAGCCTCCCGCAGCTCTCCTTTCACCAGGTTTGGGATAGAGAGGAAAATCAATTTTGATGAAACTAACTGGGAAAGAGATGGGACAGACCGGAAGAGCATTAGTAAAGGCAGGGAGCCCATCCTCTCTGCGGTTCAGTAGAAAGGGGAAAATGCTCCTCCATGATGGCTGGCAACATTAAATCTGCAGAGTTCATACTACTCCTACTAGGACAGAAACCTTGTGCTGGCAGCATCAAGGTTAGATGGCACTGCAGTCTCTCACTGTGTGACAGGTCTTCAAGATGGTGGGGCCAGAATCAAGGCTGCATCAAAGATCAGTGGAACACCGCAGGGGATGCGCTGCGTCAGGGCCCTGTGTGTTGAGCGAGAGCCACCGGTTGCCACTTGCTTTCCAAGCCCAATTCCAGGTGCTCGTCTTACACGCTTTAGGCCCCAAGGAACTACAAGACTCCTGTAGGACGTTCTTTGCACTCCTGGGTCCTCAGTGGGAACCCTTTGTGGCTCTCGCCAGGGGCGTATTCAGCAAGCTGCTTTCTCTTTGACATGGTGGGCCCCATGCATTGGAATCAACCACCCACGGAGAGCTTAAAATCTACTTTAAAAAAAAGAATTTCAGACATTGTAATGCTCTGTTTCAAAGTTTCCAAAGTGATAAATGCTTTTACATCTTTATATGCAATATACGTAGTCTTGTGAACTGCCTTAGAGCTATCGGAATGAATGTCAGCTAAATGTAAGAACCACCAGATCAATAAACCCTGCTCAACCCAAGGGAAATGGGGAGAAATGACTTTATACTGTCAGCTTCCTATCAAATCAAAAATATGATCCTCACCGCTACATACGTGGGATACCAATCCGGTTTCTCACGAGAGAGGATTGGTGAAACTTTGTTACACCTTCCAAATACTTTGTCTCAAGTCAGCTTCAATTTTCAAATTACAAAACTTGTTTATTCACCAACCAGCTTTTGTTCCCAAAAGCGCTGAATCCTATGCTTATCTATTTATAATTCTGTCCCCTGCTATTCAATGGGACCTTCTTGGAAGTAGGTTTAAGTTTAACCTTGACCTCATGATAGACATCTTGTCTGTTACTTTTAAAACAGTATAGAGCACCAAAGAAAGAAACTCTGAAATAGATACTACGTCCTGCAGTGCAGAAACTACATGAGAAGACGCGCAATCCAGGAACACACACACACACGTTTTGTGAACCTTTTAGAATGTTCAATGTTTCTGCCTGAATATGACCTACAACATGTTCTCCACACATGCCCTGGAGCTAGACAAGAGAACCCAGACAAATGTCAAAAACACAGACTTGGTTCATTTATTCACTGAAGAAAATTATCTGAAACTACAGATTTATGTGTGGGGGGAAAAGTATGTGGATCTCTAAGGCTTCCAGTTCATTTGAAGGGAAAATTTTAGAGCTGGGGGTTTCAGTCAATGGGATGATGAGGATGACGATCAGGCGTAAGTGTGGGAAGTCCTTCCTTACCCAAAGCACAGAATTTTGGGTATTATCCCAGGGGTGCTTTTTTCCAGGAGGCAAGTGGGCTTCCTTGTTTTTCTTTGAAGACATTTCGCTTCTCATCCAGGAAGCTTCTTCAGCTTCTGACTGGAGGGAGGGAATCCAGGACCATCCAGTCAGAGATGGAGAAGCTTCCTGGATGAGAAGCGAATCGTCCACTTGCCTCCTGGAAAAAAGCACCCCTGGGACAACCAGGACCTACGTACGGGTGGTGGAGAGTCTCCACTGGGCATCCACTCTCTAAGCCTGATCTTCACAACAAGCGAACTATGCTGAAGTGGGTCATGGCTTGAACAAAGAATTCGGAGGATTTCCGAAAAACAGTTGTTGATGCTGAGCAGGCAAGCAAGAACTCTATTTCCAAAGAGTTTGGACTTTCTTCTGCCAGGCAAACCATGTACAAATGAAGGCAACCCAATCCCACTGCTGCCCTCCCCAGGAGTGGCTGACCAACCGGGACCACACCCAGATCAAGGCCTTACTCAGGAGTCTCCAAGAGCCCCAATGGGAGGCCAGGCCTCTTTTGCACTGAAGAATGTCCATGTGGGTGAGGCCACCACTGAAACACTGAAAACAATGGTGTGGGGGGCAGGGTTGCAAGGGGAAAGCCCCTTGTCTCCAAAAGGACACTGCTGCCCGTCTACAGTTTGCGAAGGGCCGTGTGAGTGAGCTAGAAGGCTGTGAGGGGAGACTCCTGTGGATGCAGCAAGACAATGACCGGAACACACCAGTCCGAAAGTTAAGTTAAAGTTAATGTTTGGGAGTGGCGAAGCCAAACATCCCATAGAAATGTGGGAGGACCTAAATCAGGCAGTTCATGCCAGGGACCTCAGCAGCCCAGCTCCCCAGTCCAATCTCTTCTGTAAGGATGGGGGCAGGAGAACACCAAAATCCCTCGGAGCCAAAGGGCAGCAGGGACTAATTGTCCCTGGAAAGTTAGTTCCAGTTATTGCTGCTGGGAAGAGAGGGCGGAGTGGGCGACCTGCACACTAGTTCCTAAAAAGAAAGGTTCACATATGAAATAAGTAGCTTTCGATTGCTTTTCTCAACGAAGAAATGACCAAACATTATGTTTTTTGTTCACTTGTTTTAACTGAACAACTGTCTTATCTAGTTTTAGGACTTATGGGAAGTCACATTTTCGGTCATGTCTGTGCAGAAATATTGGAAATCCAGAAGGTTCACAAACGTTTAAGCATTACTATTCAACTGCCAAACGATGCTCAATTAGCCAAAATTTCAGCAATGCTCAGGAGATGAATGAATTCCAAAAGAGAAATTAGGCTTGAAGGATTTAATATAGTTTTATCTTTTAGATACTAATTCAGTGGCTGAAAACAATTATTTACATTAATCCATTCCAATTACTGTTTTTCTCAGGTAACAACATAGACACAATTCTCTGTAACAGAATGAAGTTTGAAAATAAGATCAGAAACTAGACAAGTCCGCACTAACATTTTTGTGCAATGGCTCAAGAATCCTCCCCCCCCCCATACCCATTTCTCACATTTTGAAATTACACCGTAAGGAAGGTTTTCTATACATTTTAGAACCAATGGCCAAACCGAGAATCAATTGCAACTCTAAAAAACCAAAATAAGGGGCTCTCCAGAGAATACCAGTCTCCATATGCAGCTGGAAGAACTTCGGAGAGGTGCTACGCTTATAGGGGCCTAGCACTACATCCTAGTACCGAGGTCATTCAACCGAAGTAAAGATATTGATTGGCAGGCCAGAGGGAAGCCCCTTGGAACCCAGAATTCAAAACCTAAAGTAAAAGCAGCTCAGTAAGTCTTATGCTGACTAAAAACCCAAAACTGGCCCGTGTTTTCTGCAGAGGGCAGAGTTGGCTTTCTTCCCACTTTCCCCATCCCTTCCATAAAAAATGAAGCAGTTTGCAGAATCCTCCCAAAAACAATTTATTGGCTTCTAAATACTTGGCCAAAGTCAGATTGTGCGGATCTTAATAACAAGCCCACTTGGGGTGGGGAGGCGAGCGGGGTGTTGGGTGTTCCTTTGCATGCCTGCTGAAGAGGGAGCTCTTTTTCCCACCTGTGGAACTGCACGCCAAAAGGACTGGGCTGCTGCGGCTGCTTCTTCTGCCAGGCAACCCCAACGGGGAAAGAAGCGTCTTGCATTCCACTCCCTGCCCAGCCCCCGAGCTGCCTAGACTTGCGCACAGAGGGATATGTCCCTATTCCACAGCTATGCTGTGTGCCCTGAGGTCACAGGGGAGGCCGGACCTGCCGGGGCTACTCACCATCACCCTGCATGTCTGAAGTCCATAGTGTCAGGTTATCACGTAACAACTGCATGATAAGTGTAGAATCCTTATAACTTTCTTCGCTCAGCGTATCCAGTTCTGCAATTGCGTCATCAAAAGCGGCTTTCGCCAACCTATAAGCAGAGGATGACTACGGTAGCAAAGCATGTCAAGGGAACCAACTGCTCCTGCGGGTGAAGACCTCAAGCTTGGCAATAACCCCCGCCCCGCCCCCGGGAACCCTTAGTTCTGCAGCAGCCCCCCTTTTCAGAGCCAGCTTGGTCCCCTGACAATCCCTATGGAGGGAACACCTTTGGGGGAACTGACATTTCCTTCTTCCTCCTCCTCCTCTGTGGGTATTCCAGACTGATCCAGGGGCAGCAACAGTCTGGAGTTCCCTGAGGCGCTAAGGGAGGATACTTCCTAGCAACTCACTTACCTGCAGGCACGATCAGGAGAA